GTTGATGGAACAGGATCAGTAACTGGAGTTCCTTTCTCCATGTACCTTTCTTCTGGTAGTTTCTATTTTGAGTAGTTGGTTTATCTTCTAAATGCATCTTAACATGGCGTATTTCTGATGGAATCTGTGATTATTTTTCCTTTTTTTTTTCTTAAAGGATATTTTAGTAAGCTGGAAAAAATCTAACTGGTTATAACATTCTTTTTCTCCTATTGGTGAAAGCTGAACAAAGTCCATTCCAAATTGGGAAAGAGATTGCCATTAGTTATGGTAATAAAGGAAATGAGGTACTTCCTGTTGTGGATTAGTTAAGTACTGTGTTCCATTATACTTTTGCATTGAGACCTTTTTGTCATGGCTATTGGATCTGAGTATATATTCCCGCACAGATGAACTGTACCGCTCATTCGATTTTGTTGCAACTTTGGCATGGCTTCTAAGAATATATTGCATTAAACTCAAGAAAGCCTTCTTTCAATTATTTTGCTTTGTATCATTGATTTTATTACATCTTCTCTAATTATGGGTCTTTTAGCACTGTGAAGGATATAGGGGCACCTCCTCCCTTTTTTAAGTCCAATCAATTGATCTCATTTCGTTTTAGAAAATAATATATTATATATATATTTATTTAATGAAAAATAATAATTTTAACCCTATTAGTTATAATAATAGGTGATAATTTTGACACCATTAGTTATTATGAAACATGATTTTGACCTCAGCAAAATTGTGATACAATTTGACTTTGCTAATCAATATTTTTGTGTATACTTATTTGACCCCACTGTCAAAAAATTCTAGCTCTGACCTAGAACCATGGTCCCATTTATGGTAAATCAGGAAAAATTTTGTATTTTGTTGTCCATGCGCTCCATGAATCAGTGAAAAATGACTAATCAAACTCGGTAAGAGCAACATTATACTTGACATACTTTTCACTTTTAGCATTTCTTTATTTTGTGCTTTACCTATTTAAAAGTATTTGATCACATTTCTCTAAGTATGATATGTAAAACATGTTTACCTGGACATTGGGGTCAAAAACATACATGCAAAATGTGAAATTTTTATTCATTCTTCCCATTGAACAGCAGTTTATGTTTTTCGTTTGATGCAGGAGCTACTCTACCTTTACGGATTTGTCATAAAGAATAATCCAGATGATTATCTCATGGTAATGCTCTATGTTCTTTTTTCTTTTTGATGCACGGTAATGCTTAATGTTCAAACCAATTGGCGCTGAGGTTTTAGACTAGGCTGATTTAGATCTAGGCTAGTTTAATTCCAATCTTTTAACATTCTCCTTAGGTTTATATTTTTGTCCAATTGTGAGCTGATAAAGAGCACAACTGGTGTTGGGGAATTGTACAGGTGCATTATCCAATGGAGGCACTTAGGAGCATCCCCTCTTCCGACTCCAAAATGCAGCTTTTGGAAGCTCAGGTCCGCAAGTCGTATGGCCTTCGTACAATGTTTCTTATGTGAACATCAAGAATGCCTCATTGTAGCAATAATTTTAAGTCTTCCAATTGATCACGGGAATATATTTTCCTCCATGTTTATTTCTTCTCCTAAAAAATAAATTGCAGCGCCAGTAAAACCTGGTTCTTTGTTACAGAAAGCTGAATTGCGGTGTCTTTTACCTAAAAGATTGCTGGATCATGGGTTTTTTCCGGGAAATAATGCTAAGAATGAAAATAATGATGAGGAAAAAATGGCTAAATTTTGCAACTTCAGTTGGAGTGGTCAGCGCAGGACACCATCTTACCTAAATAAGCTTGTTTTCCCTGAAGATTTTCTTACTGCATTGAGGACTATAGCTTTCCAAGAAGATGAGCTCTTTAAAGTTTCATCTTTGCTTGAAGAGGTGCAGTTTCTATTTATTACAAGCTCTGTTTTCTTGTAACTTTGTGTTTCCATTTTCTAATTACTATGTGGAAATAGAATAGTTTCCTGCAGTTTTCCAATTCAAGTAATTTGTAGATCTTAAAGCAGGGATGCATGTGACTGTAGTGATTGGAAGAATAGCATGTTTTATGTTTCTTGGGATATCAGTGTATTGCTTACTGATGAGGGCTGCTCTGAAAGGTTGATCTTCTAATTTTATATTAGGAGTTAGGACTGGGTGATTCTTGCTTTGTTCCAGTCATCTGCTTGGAAATGTTTCATAAAGTGAAGAATAAACAAAGAATTTAACTGCTCATGGAAACTTCGGAAACTGAAACACTATAATATATGGAGAGGTAATGATGATAAAAATGCTTTAGACGTCATGGATAGGTGGAGGATTCTTGATCAAGCAGACATATAAATTCCATTATCCTTTAGAATGACAGAATTCATAGCTCTGCAGCAGGTGTAGAATAGTTTATTCTTTTGTCAGTCATTTACTACTGATTCTTTAGCTTTCAATGATACTGTTTCTTTTCTTAAAGTTTGTTGGACCTGGAGGGGAGAGACAACCATCAGAGACAGAAGTAAGAGCAGCAGTATGGGAGGCTTGTGGGGATTCTGGAGCTTTGCAGTTGCTTGTGGATCTTCTTAATGCAAAGTAAGATCTGGAATCTACTTTCTTATTTCACTAAGCCTATTTCGGTTCAAATGTTAATTCTGATTAGGAATAGGAAAACGAGAAAAACAAGGTAAAATTTTGAAAGAAATTATTATTCAGTTCCACGTTCAATTCAAATTTTTATTATTCAGTTCCATGTTCAATTCAAATTAAGTCGATTTATAATCTTGAATAATCACAAATGGTAGTTAAAATGTACTAGGTAGAATTTGATGTATGGATGGACTTGGTTGAATTGTGAATGGAAGGTAAAAGTTATGATTAACATATTGCGAATACTGATCTTTTCTTAAATTTGGAGATCCCATGTTGTGGTTTAGTAATGTTGGAAATTAGCTCAAGTGCTATTAAAAACTTATGGAGTTGCACCATTTACTTTCTTTTCCGCGAATATTATGAAGTTTTTTTTTTTCTTTATGCTAGAATGATGGATCTTGAAGAGAATTCAGGACCTGAGGACTCTGATTCTGAACTGCTTGAGAAGGCATGCATCACGGAAAACTTGTCACAGCAAGCTTGCATAAGGTATTATGATAACTAGAGGCCCATTCATTCTTTAAAGAAAAAAAAACATTTGCAATAATTCATTGTTTTATCCACACACACATTAGAAAAAAGTTAAATGTTTGCAATGTTCTTATGAAAGCATATCTCAAACTCTTTCCATAATCCGTTAGTTTTTTGAGTTTTTACATCTATATCAGATATGAAGGTTTTCATCATATGTCAGCTGAGAGTTGCTCGGACAAATGGAATATTTCTTTAGTAATTCTAGATTCCCTCAACTCCATTCTGCTTTGTCATGGCAGAGAGGCAAATGGCTCGACCCAACTTGAATTGATGAGTAGAAACAGGTGGTCTTCTATAGTTTATCGGCAAGGACAGAAGCAACTAACCCGCTTATTCTTGAAGGAAGCAGAGCATGCTTTGCAGTTGGCACTTAGTGAAGGTAACTGAAAATGCAATATGTTAGGAACCCCTGCGTCCGTTTAGAAAGCTGAATATTGATGCCTCAAATGTCTTCTTTGAGCTTCACCGTCCCTTCCTCTGGTCTTGCCTGGTAGATAATTTTAACTCTAAAGAATGATTGGCGGGTTCCTGGTTTTAGTTTTTAACCTGAACTACCTTTATATTCTCCCTTACAAGTTTGAGATTAATTTTGAACACTAACATGGTTTGCGTGTTTCATAAATTATTCCATAACGTGTATTCTTCTTTCTTTAATTATTAGTGTACAAAAATTCAGTAGTCAATAAAATTTACTAATCATTTATAAAGTTTATGGATCATTCCATATGAATTCGTACATCTGCTAAGAAAAGAATTGCTTCGTTTGATATAAACCTTTTAATGATATTTACATGTCACATTGTAACAGCTGAATTAGCCACATCGGCAGTAGGTGACGGGATACTCTTGGTGTCATTATTCATTTTTTGCACAGAAGCAAAATTTGATTAATTAACTCAAACGGATATATTATTTGAAGTTGGGGTAACAACTTTTAGAAAGGATGTTAGAAACGAGTTTATGAGCTCTATGCCTCGTCACTTCGTAAGCTTTTGGTTATTTACTTAAAAACTTTTAGAAAAAAAATTTAAAAGTTAGTTATTGGAGAGCTTATGAGCTTGTACTGATTGTAAAATAAGTTAAGCTAAATATCGTACTAGTTGAATACAAGAAGTAAAAAACTAACTTAAAGAATTAAAAAAAGTTATTGGCGAATATAAGTTCTGTTTTTAATCCAAAAAAGATCAGAGCACAAAGTACTTTCAATGAATCTTTGCATTCTCTCTCGAGGAAAAATGTATTGTAAAAACTTATTTTTAAAGTTAGCACCTAAGCCCGTCTAGCTCAGTCGGTAGAGCGCAAGGCTCTTAACCTTGTGGTCGTGGGTTCGAGCCCCACGGTGGGCGTGTAGTTATTATTCTTACGCTTTTACTGATAACAATTAAAACGCGGCGTTTCTCCGCCGCCCGTAAAGAAGGAAGTGAACCCGCCGACGGGTCACGTTAGCAGTCACGAATAACTGGTGTGAATAATTTCTCCATTGTTCTTTCGTTTTTTCTATCACATTAACTTTCTTAAAGCCTTGAAATGATAAATAATTTTTTATTTTTTTTATGGATGGGTTCACTTAAATTTACTTTTTTTTTTTAAAAAAAAATAATAATAAAACTAAAAATAAATAAATCTTTTTTAAAAGTTAAATTATTGACAAGTTTAAGAAGAAGATAATCGATTTTTTAACGTCAAATATTTAATTATAATTTTTTATAAGTGAATATAGAATAACATTGCCGTTGTCAAGGGAATTGGGTAGGTGTCATTGTGCATGTTACATGTCAAGTCAAGTGGCAGGCAACCCCCCCAAGTCCAAAATAATCCAATCTCTGGCGGCCCCTTCTCACATAAACATTTCCTCCTTTTCTAGCCTCTCTCTTTCTTGGGTTCTCTCAATTTTATCTACTTCTCGCATTCATTTCCTTTGGCTTTTTCAGTTACATAATATTGTAAATAAAATTTAAAAACTTTAGTGTATTATTTGACCCATTGGCAGCATTAGCCAAAATGGAATTTTGATGGTCATTTTATTGATTCAGGTCAGGTCAAGGTACATATCAGAAAATGACTTTGTGGAAAATTATACTTATTACCTCACACCTACTCCTTTACCCAGAATACATATCATATCAAAATCAACATCAAACAACTTCCTATCATTTCCTCTAATTTCTCAAGAAGAAAATAATTTGCATTTAGAAAAAAAAAAAAACCAAAAAAAGTAGTATTGATTTCAAACGAATGGCCTTCTCTCTTCATCTCCTTCTCTTCCCATTTCTACTTCCTTTTTCTCTGGTTCAGCAGAGGGTCTTCCAATTTTGACATATTCAGCCCAAGAAGAAGAAGATGATGATGATGATGATGATGATGAGACCCTTCTGGTGTTAGGCTTGTTTTCAGGCAAGAGCTTCAATGTGATTCCCATGGCTATTAACAGGAGTCCGGTCCCATGCTGCTCTGTCAATGGCTTTGTGAATATCAAGTATGATAACAATAATGTTACCGCCTTTCTTGCTGTTGTCACCTGTCCCCATAATTTACTCCATAAATTTGTGAATATCAAATAAAATTACTGGTTAAATTGTACCTAATTCACTCAGTTTCGTGTAGATTCTAACTGGTTTTGACTAGTTTAAAAGATAAACAGGAAAGCATGAGGGAAGGATGTACCATAGCGGTCGTGGCAGCACCAAACATGGCGATGAGGGAAAGAACCGAAACTTGTCCGATAAACGTGGCCATGGCTTCGAAGACAAGCACACCGTAAACATATAGGTGCTGCATTGTCAAATCCCAGATGAATTTTCAGCATATTTGGCAAAAATGAATTGAAGGGGGGGAAAAAGGTTCTTGGGATTCTTTTACCTGAGAACATGAATTCCACGCTTTGAATAATTCTCCTGTTAATAGCATTGGTGGAATCAGAAAGGGCAAGCCAACTACAGTTGAGCAAAATAGCATTTCCATCTGCAAAACAAGTGCTGTTAATCAAACCAAAGGTCCCAATTTCACCCTTTCTCCGGGAAATTACAGGACATGAAAGTTAACCTGTGTGGTTTCAGGATTCATGGTAAAGATTGCTTCTTGCAAATTACCCAGAAAGGAATCCATGATTAAAGCACCAGATACCATCACAACACCCAATACGCTGAAGTTCGGGGATGTCTGTGCATCGGCTAAGGTGAAAAGAATAAGACCTACAACTAAAAGTATCGCAGACACGTATTCGTGAACCGGATATTTCCTTCTCAAACCCGGTATAAAAGCTCCCATTATCATAACAGGTAGTACCTGAAACCATAAAAGCCTCTATGAATTACAAACACATCTAACAATCCCACAATGTAATAGCAACCAGAATCAATGTTCAACAGATGACATTTGATTTATCATCAAAACTAGTTATCACAGAGAAATTAAACTAGTTTAAGACCAGCCGAGCAGACCTAAAATTGGGCACGCATATAATCTTACTGACAAAGACCAATTACATAATCCTAAGATTGACTATGTTACAGCCTGTAACATTTGTTTCAACAAAGGAGATGATGAATTTTACCTTTGTGGATTTGAACATAAGCTGAGCAGGGTAATTTAGAAAGGCCAGAGACCCTTTGGTGAGGCCATGAGATCCCATAAGAACAGCAGAGAGTTTGACGTAAGTTTTCCATGGGTTGACCATTTGCTTGGGGGTGAACCCTTGGAGGTAAATCAAAATTATATACACTAACCCTTGAATAAACGTGAAGTACCAACCGTAGCTGTAAAAATAATAATTAAATAAATAAATCACAGATCAAAATTCACCATAAAAAAATGTATCAATTAAACAGGATCAAGAACCAAGATTACCTGAATTTCAGCCTATTGTAAACATATTCCTGGAAAGTTAACAAAACTGTAAGCTTTACCAGAAAATAAATAAAAAATGCAGGTGGGTATTTTTAAAAATTTCATTTGTAAGAGGATTAATTTGAATAATCGTTCATTTTGTTCATTAACTAAAAGTGTAAGAGAAAAACAGGGTATTCTCAAATTTCTGAGAAAAAAAAAAACAGAAGAAACATTCAATAGGCATGCAGCGAGTATATCAAATTCCTCAACTTTCTTGGCAACCAAACAAAAGAAAAGAAAGATTTGACTGCTCAAATAAACATCATAAGGCCACAACAGTGCTTGAAACAGTTCTCAATTTTCTAAGGGAGAGAAAAACAGAGCATGCATTCAATCGGTGCTATTTTCAATAGGCAAGTGTAAGAAATTTCTCAACTTTCTCAGCAACCAAACAAAAGAAAAGAAAGATGTAACTGCTCAGACAAACATCATAAATCCAGAACAACAGTTGAAACTTTGGCTGATTTAGAAACGCATATGAGACAGAAAAAAAAAGAAAGAAAACTCTCAATTCCCAGAATCCCCTTGATAATCAACTAGAAAAGAAAAAAAAAAACAGAGTTGCGAGAAGGAAAGATAGAAAAAACCTCGCAGATGCCATTCACAAGATAACCGAAGAAAAAGCCAGAAGAACAAATGAGGAATTGTTGCCATTTTGGCCTACTCGAAAGAGAAATCCCAAACAGAGACCGGGCTTGTTCGTCGCTCTTCATCTCAATTTTTTCCTCCCAGAACTCCTGCAAATTCCCAAAAAATCACAAGAAAATCTTATAGAAAAAAACTTCTCGGATCACCAATGGAACAGCACAATCTTCCTCGCCGGTACTCTCTGCATGTTGACTTTGACGAAGAGAGGGAAAGATGTATAGAGAAACGAGTCCATCGGTTACTTGATCAAGAAACCCATTAACAAGTGGCGGTGAGAGATTTTATTCCATTAAAGTGTTGGCTCGTTTTGGGGGAATACACATTGAAAATATATAAAGAGAGAAAGAGAGAGAAAGGGGGGAAGAACTTTCCATGTTCTTTGTTTACAGCGAGAGGCTTAAGAGAAGGAAAAGAAGCAGAAGAGCTTTGATAACCTGCCGCTGATCTTTTATGAGATCGTTGATGGTCCAACATCAATGGACCCAACTAGCCATCTGAATTGATGACCGAGTGGCGGCGTAGTGGTAGATTGGAGGTGCTTACCGCACCTGATTGGGACTCTAGAAGATTTGTTTGGCAGTATTATGGTATGAATTAAAGGGTAATTAAGGATGGAGTAGGGGAGTAGGCATAATTGCTTTCCTTTTTGGACTCCAAGAAAACTCCCAAGTAATTATTAATACGAAAAAATTAAATAATTAAAATAGAAAATTATATATATTTCAAATCTTCAAAATTAGACGAAGATCGTGTTGACCTTTTTTGCTTGTTTTTGCCCTTTTGATCACATGTTTTATAAAATAAATTTCTACTAGGGTTGGGTTAACACGTCATCTAAGAAATTTTTTTTTTTTAAAAAAATTAAACTTATTTACCAATTAATTATTTATAAAAGTCAATTCCAACCTCCTTATTATAAGACAATATATATATATTTATTTGATTTATTGTATTAACTTTTAGTGGTAGATAATTTGTTCTTTCAATCATCTTTTTTTTATAAAAAAAAATTGTTATTTGAATCAATATTAAATTATATATTTTAACAACTACGATAATTATTTGTTCTTGGTGTTACCAAATATATATATTTAAATGATGTTTTGAATAAATATAATTTTATGAAATTTATTTACAAAATGATACTTGATTTACTTTTTAGTATCAATTATGTTAAAGAAAATATAGGATTAACTATAAATTATATTGGAATTAATTAAAATTTGAATGTATTATTCTTGTTTCCCATAAAATAATTTTCTACTTTTTTATATGTACTTAAGAAAAATATTGATATTATTCCAAAATTATATTTATGATCTCTATGCTAATAATTTGTGAATACACATATAATATTAATAAATTATTTTGATTTTTTCCACATTTTTCTTAAATTATACACAATCAATAATAAAAATTTATTCATTTTACCACTAAATCTCGATGTAGGCAAAGTATCATAAATATATATGATACCCAATTGAAGATTATGAAATTAAAAAATAATAATAATAATAAAAGATATAAACATAATTTTATGATTAGTGATTTTAGTTATAAATTTGGTATTAGATATAAACATAATTTAATCAAATTGTGCAAAATATAAATGTGTTGAAACATTTGATCTTATGGATTGAGAAAAAAATAATTATATTAATTAACGACATTTGAGAGATGAAGCAATCAATTAATAAGATATGAATAACACGTATGCAATGTTTAAACTTTCATGGAGGATGACTTTAAAACTCTGCATTTTGGTAAGACACAAACTTTAATGAAGGTACATTTAGTATAGATTTACATAAAATAAATCACAAGTATGATACACATCATATAATAATTTTTAAGATTAAATATCTTAAATCTTATTTATTTTATAAAATTATTTTAGAATATGGTCATTCATGAAACATTTTGCTAAAGAATTTTTCACCTACTCTTTTAAAAAAATAAAAATAAAAATAACCAATGGTTTAATGTAATATATACGGTCAGTCGTTTTGGGTTTTAAATGCAATGCATTTTTGGCATCATCTGGTTTTCTGCAAGTTGATATGCAATGCATACATATGTAGGTATTCCCTTCTCTTTTTATACAAACTAAATTCGGAATCATACAATTTTGTTCTTACTTTTTAATTGATATATACATATGTAGGCGTCACCCTTTCTCTAGGAAATCAATGTGGGAAGCGCTACAGGACATGAAAATTTAGCTGTGTGGTTTCAGGTATAAACGCTCCCATTATCTATCATAACACGCAGTACCTGAAACCGTAAAAACCTCTGCAAATTATAAGAATCCCACAATGTTCAACAAAGGAAATTTGATTTATCACCAAATTCGTTATCATAGAGAGATCAAATTAGTTTAGTCGACAAAAGTACTGGGACAAACTGAATCCCGTGTTTGCAGACTAAGGATTTAAGACCAGCCGACCAGACCTAAAATCTGGCATGCCCACAATCTTACTGCTAAAGATCAAATACATAATCTTAAAATTTACTACATTGCAGCGTGTAACACTTATTTCAACAAAGGAAATGAGGATTTTTTTAACTTTGTGGATTTGAACATAAGCTGAACAGGTTAATTTAGAAAAGGCCGAAGACCGTTGGGTGAGGCCATGAGATCACATAAGAACAGCAGAGAGTTTGACATGGGTTGACCATTTTGCTTGGGGGTGAACCCTTGGAGATAAATCAAGATTAGATACGCAAACCGTTGAACAAATGTGAAGTACCAACTGTAACTGTTATCAAAATTCTTAAATTGCAGCCTATTGTATACATATTCCTGGAAAATTAAGAGAACTGTAAGCTATTTCGGCCTACCCGAAAGAGAAATCCAAACAGAGACCGAGCTTGTTCGTCGCTCTTCATCTCACTTTTCCCCTCTCAGAACTCTCCGTGTTTACAGCGAGAGGGAATAAGAGGGAAATATTTATAGAGCAGGAGAAGTTTATTACCTGCGGTTATCTTTTATGAGATCGGCTGATGATGTCAATAACAATGGACCACGCCAATCATCTGATTTTTGCAAGTGGATATATGTATATATACACGAGCAGAATGGTGATGAGCAGGAGCACCATCGTGAGCTTCTGTTTTTACACAAGTAAAATCAGAATCATGCAGTTCTGTTTCGATTTTCTGATTACATTCATGTTTTTTTAAGTGCGTTTTTATTCATTTATATCTGTGTCTCATAATTACTTGAAACAAAAGCAGGATAATCCTGAATTTAATTACACGTTGATTAAGATTCTAAACGTTATCAAATAAAATATTATATATATATATATGATGTTTCGAATAAATTAATTTTGTGAAATTTATTTATAAAATGATACTTGGTTTACTAATGAGTTACTTTTTTGTATAGATTACGTTAATATATATATATATATATATAAAATAAACTTTTATATAACATTTTATGTAAATTAAATTAAAATTATAAATTATATTAAATTGATTAAAATTTGAATGTATTATTTTTGTTCCCTATATGTGAGAACTCTTATACCCATAGGCTTATCATATTTTCAGAATTAGCTATTTCTAAACCCACTTATAATTTTTAACTAAACTTGTTTAGTTAATTTAATTTATTATTTTTCTCTGAATTTTTTCCCCCAATATCATTTTTTTCTGTTCATTCATTTTTCCTAATGGGTTGTTTGTTGACTTTTTTGATTTCAAATATTAATTCTGATATCTTTTACTTAATTCTGGGGTAGGAGCCCAAATATGATTAACCTATTTCTATTAATATACGTGTGTGTGTGTGTGTGTGTGTGTGTATATATATATATATATACTTTTGATCTTTTTATACCCTTTCTAAAGGGCTTCTGCCTGCCCTTTCCCTTTGTTTAATTTCCTAAATCCAGGCCCATCAGAACTTATATTTCTTTCCCCATCCCCCCTTTTTTTATTTCTCTTTATTTAGCCATTAAAATTTTCTTTTCTTTTTACTAGATCCAAAAGAAGACTTATCTTATATCCAGCCCATTTTCTATTTGGACTTGGCTCATTCCCAATCTGGATCTATCTCATATTTCTCCTTTTTTTTTTTAAATAGAAAGCTAGGCCCATCAAATGGATTTATTTCTAAGCCATGTATATATATATATATATCCACTTGGGTGGGATTCCCTAGAGTTTTGAGTTTGGGCTCCATGGATGTGTTAGCCCGATCCATTTTCTTTGGGCTTTGTCCAAACAAACCTGGACCCATTAACTGCCTATTTTGACTAGAATGGGTAGGGTGGCCTGTTTCAGCTGCCACCAACGACCTTCCTCACCCACGACCATGTAGGTGGCAAGTACAACCTTCTGTTCGAGAACCACCCCAAAAGTTACGAAGGCATTTTTTATCTCTGTTAACCAATACTCAGCCTCTTCGAAGGAGGATGCCCCTGTAAAGGTAAATGAGTTTAGTCTCTTACACCTCTTAATGTAGCTTGGGTCCATCATAGGTGGAACTAGCTCCCATTGAAGAGGGACTAGATTATGCTGAGGAAGGGTCGGATGGCCCTATACCGGCACCTAGTTGTATGGTGGGAGCACCGGATTATACTGTGACGGTGTTAGATAATATGGTGGAGGAGCAAGATTGTATCAAGATTGTATCAAGATGGCACTGGATCTTCTTGTTATAGGGGTGGCTCGTACTATGGCAATGATAGAGGGTCAGACAGCTCCCTCTTCTATTCCAAGGCATGTTGGGCAGAGATAAATCTCTCTAGCATCTCGAAGAATCATCAACATCCTCTCAAAGTGACTCATCCCGGGCTGATTGATTTAGTCGAAGCCTTTCTCTCCTTATATCCTTGTACCTGTATTTCATAAGAAAGGGCTGAGTGTCATGTTATATTTTAGTGTTTTAAATCTTTGTGTAAAGAATGGTTCCAAGGAACGCGACTCTGATACCAACTGTAAAGGACCAAGCTAAAAGTAAAGGAAATATTTAATTATGTCAACAATAAGTGTAAATAATTTAGAATTTAGATTTACATTACTTACATAGTAATCATGATGCCTATAGAGTTACGGAATATCCATTTACATAGTTCATAGTATGAAATAAATTATTAAATAAACGAAATAAAATCCTATACAGTTAACCTCCGCTGGGTAAC